TACTTCAGGACAACAAATCGGGTTTCGAACCATATCTACTTCAGGACAACAAATCGGGTTTTGAAACCATACCTACTTCAGGACAACACTCTCACTCGCAAAGTGAAAGCTATGGTTTCAAAAAAACAACAACAAAAACTCTTCGACTCTTCTCCCCCCCACTCTAAAAAATAAATCGAGGAAGCCAGTCATACTTCTTGCTGTTGTTAACAATATCATACACGAAGGGTTTGATGTTGACTAAAGATCACAAGCTTCCAGTCACACCTCGAAATCAACGTCTATTTTTCATGAGAAAGGAAGCTGAAGATACTGAAAATCACAGCAATCCCATTTGACCCCTGATGAAACTCCAGTGAATTTTCGTACCTTTGTTTGTTTTGTTTTGAATTTCGCGCAAAGTTACACGAGAGCTATCTGCAGTGGTAGACTAGAGGGAAGGCAGCTAGTCAACAAAACCTACCGCCAACTCTTGGGCTACTCTTTTTACCAACGAATAGTGAGATTGACCGTCACATTATAACGCTCCCACAGTATAAAGGGTGAGCATGTTCAGCGAAGGGGGGATTCGAACCCGCGACCCTCAGATTGCGAATTGAGCGCCCGTAACCACCAGGCCATGTCAGGACTCGTATCTTTGGACTGCTTTAACGTAGTCTTGAAATCCAACACCCACGGACTGTGGAGAGGGGGGGGGGGTTACTGAATACTTTTCAAGATATGTGGTTTAAGATGAAGCTTGCCATTCTTGCGATGTTGAACAAAGTTACTAAATCACGTGATTGTAGTCATCAGAACGAGCATGCTCGATGATGGTTGGTGTAGATCTACGTGTAAGGCACTGCTTTAAATGCAAGCATAAAGGGGTGTTTAAGACGGTCACTGTTTTCTGACTGCTTGCTAACTTATTTGTACGATGACTCATGATCAGCCGACAAACGCAAATGATGAATTTGTTGTTTCCATTTGTGAAATATAAAATTACTGTATCCCTCGAAAGGTCCACACTAAAAGTCGCTATTCCATAATTAGACAAGGTATACAGTTAGGGTTCAAACATGATAGTGTGAGGAGACTGATTTTTAACGAGTATCACGGACCACAGGCCGGTCATCAAGGAAACTGGAGCTCTGAAAATCCGGGTCAATACCTTGCTCGAGAGCCAGCTAATTCACATACAACGTACTGCACGTGCGCAAAGACTAATTAAACATGTACTAATCACCATTCGACAGTCGGCATTTGTCACGTGATATTCCATTTTATCTGTTTTACTTAAAAAAATAAACAACAAATTTAACACTCCTAGTTTAAAGAGAAAAGAAATTACTAGAACATTCTACGCTTGGCGTTTATCTACATTACGATTGTTTACTATTACATCGTACAATAACACGCACACACACACATTAATAAGCCTTATCCTTGATATATAGGCTGAAACCTATCACTCAGGTTTGTAATTGTATACATACTCATGATAAATGAGTGCGATACATATGTTTAGCTCATTACATATACATAAATCTGTTATATGGACTTGCTAATTATATGTTCTTGACCTATATTTCTAGTCACTACTCGATCAGAATGTAAAACACACACGTAAGCATATATGAATCTCTCTCTCTCTTCACATGCACACATAAACAAGTAACATGATTAAAAAAAGTACTTCGAACGTCTGTCACACATAAAATATATTTCTAAGGTAAAACGGAATCAAAATGAAAACAACGAATACCAATTGTATGAAAATCAAACAGGCAAGTCTGATTTTATCCTATATATATAATATAGGACTGCAATAAACCACGATTCAAGGACCTGGCAAAGTAAACGTGACACACAAACACACACACTTGTATAATTTGGACTAATTGTAGATTAACTATATCTTTCATTATAGTCGAACATAAAAATAGGAACATTGACATGGTTGGCACAGTGCAAATAGTCCCCTTTGTGTAGTTTCGCACTTAAGAATAAACACCTCCAACAACAACAAAAAAACACCCTTGGTATTAAAGTTAATTAGCTATTCTGACCAGCTCATGGTCACTGCTGTTTATTTCAGTTAAAGAAATGATTGATTTACAAAATGACCACCACACCGTGTTACTTTCGAATTGGTTTGCCTTTAATTTCAACTAACAACGAGTACGAGTTATTTCCTCAAATGACACCTAAAACCCTAGGGTTGGTGTTTATGGAGTTTCGCGCAAAGCTACACGGGAGCTATTTCGGAAAATGATCAAGAAAGTAAACGTAAAATATTTTCTCTCAGATATTGTTGGAAAGTTAGGAAAAATAGGTGTGTGAAAAGACAAAGGACATGAATAACCCCTTTCCGTTAAACCTAGTCTCGCATTTAATTCTTTTTATCGAAGAACCAATCCAATTAGAATATAAATAAATTCAAGACAGCCATAACTCCTATGCACGTGCATACCTGGTCAACAAGAAAAAAATGTCAGTCCACTGGACATTGCAACCGACAAACCATAGACCGACCGCCACTCTTGACTAAAAGGAGCAGACGTCCAAGTTCATGTAGCTAGCAATGGACAGATTAAATCTAAATATATTTCCAATCTTAAGTTTTAAGTAGAAGTGTAAAGTTGGACCGGTAACATCACAGTATAAATAATAATAAAATACATTGTTTCACATTTGACATTAACTTTATATTTAGCATCAAATTTAGGTTGACGTCGAGTTGAAGGTTAAGATTGTCTTTAGGGTTGATATGATACTTATAATTAACATTGTTTCATACTTAACACTAACTTTATATTTAGCATCAGCATTGAACATTTGGGCTTCACATAGAGATGGATGTTATCATCGTCTTTAGAATTAATGCCTGTTTTACAGTTAAAATTGTTTAATATTTGATACTAACTATATATTTAGCATCAACAATGAACACTTTTAGGCTTAACGTGGAGTTGAAAGTCATCAACGTCTTTAGGGTTAATGCCAATCTACAATTAACATTGCTTCACACTAACTACGTATTTATCATCAGCAATGAACACTTTTAGGCTTAACGTGGAGTTGAAAGTCATCAACGTCTTTAGGGTTAATACCAATCTTATAATTAACATTGCTTCACACTAACTACGTATTTATCATCAGCAATGAACACTTTTAGGCTTAACGTGGAGTTGAAAAGTCATCAACGTCTTTAGGGTTAATACCAATCTTACAATTAACATTGCTTCGCACTAACTACGTATTTAGCATCAGTTTTAGGCTTGAAATCGAGTTCAAGGTTAACATTGTCTTTAAACTTAATGCCAATTTCTGAGTTCACATGTTTTCAGGGTTAAAAATCGATTTCAAAATCAACATAATTTAAGAAAACATTTCCTACGTTAGTCTGAGTATCTTACTCATACACTCTTCAAGTGTGACATTCATGAGCACCGACTGGATGAAAAGCATTAGGGCAGGGGGAACAACGTTTTTTGTTTTCAGTCGGTTATTTACATACCTCCCCCAAGTTAAGGGGGGGGGGAGCTACGGTAATTATTACACATCTCACGTGTTGCACATTTCTTGTATTAGCGCCATAAAATTAGTGGACAGATAAGATGTCTCAGTAACCAGCTAGTTCAAAATGTTGTGTTTCGAAATCAACTTAATTAAACTTACACTTCGCTTTTTCTACAATACCTCATTTCATTAATCAAAAGCGACGTATATATAATGTTTACCCATTACTTAAAATAGTTCTGCACCTCCTCAAATATTCTTTAAGAGTGACAAGTACCCCTTTACCCCCCCCAAATCGGTGCCTATGAATTCACTTTGACCCGTATGTTAAATGGATGGCTAAGGTTACTATTAAACTTTTAACCTGAATAGTAGAAACATTAAAAGTTTTAATCTTTCAGAAACTGCCTTGAGATCACGTCATTGTATTGATTGACACTACTGATCAAAGAATATATTCAAAACATTTTAACGCGAGGTAGACAATGCTATGGATACATCTTTACTAATAGTAATAATAACAGAACGTGAGAGTAATTAGGGATAACAAACACCCATTATATATATATACGAAAACGTAGAATATGGTATTTTGGGGGGATTATCCCCTGAAGGATTTCGCAGGGTCGTCACATTCTCTCCACTACGTCTAGGAAAAAAATTGATTTTCATCTAATTACATCCACCATGACAAAGGTGTGTGTGTGTGGTGGGGGTGGGGGGGGTGATAAGAAAAAACCAACCGACGGGTGACCGAGGTACGGGGGGGGTAGATAAAGAAAAACCAAACCCGACGGGTGACCGAGGTACG